GGAGGAGCACAGGGCAGGGGCGGAGGGAGAGAGAGGGGAAGATGGGGGTCAAGAAAGTTTGAGCTTCCAAGCTCCCCAGGCCCTACCAAACCTCTCCCCCTCCACTGGAAGCCCCACACTGCACATAAGCGTTGACTTTCCCAAGAAGCCACTCCTCCAAGCCCCAGTCTCATACCCCTTTCCACGACTTCCAGGCAATGTCAACATTTCCCAGAACCCCCCTTCCCTTGTACCTCTTCTCCCCTAAAGCCACGCCCTCCCAGACCACAGTCCCACTTCTCTCCCAGAGACCCTGATAATGACCGGCCAACTCCCACTTACCGAGACACAATGGCAGGTGAAGGTCAGTGCACCCCCAGGGCCTGGGCCAGGACGGCACTGGCCTCCATGCTGGCATGGCTGGGACTCGCAGGGAGACAGGACAGACTGGCAGCGGGAACCTGGGCAAGCAGGAGCCATGGATCAACCACAATGGGGGAACACAGGCAGGATCCCAGGTCAGCCCTCTTGCCTGCCCTTACCTGTGAAGCCGGCTAGGCAAAGGCAGCGGAAGCCCCCACCTGGGTCCTGCAGGCAGTCCCGGGTATGTGCTGCATGGCAGGTGCCCGGGCGACACTCATTGATATCTGCCTCACAGCGCAGGCCAGTGTATCCTGGGGGGCAGGTACAGCGGAAGCCGCCCACCAGGTCTACACAGGTACCATTGTGCAAGCACCGGGGGCCTGGGTCCAGGGGTGGGCCTGGGCCACAGTCATCATCATTAATCTCACAGAGCACACCTGAGGGAAAGGAAGAATAGTCAGGAGCTGTAGTCAGGAGCTGACAGAGACCCAGCCTCCCAGCCTGTCCCCCAACCCTGGCTCCGGCATACCCAGTGTCCCAGGAGGACAGGAGCAGAGATATCGGGCCACAAGGTCAATGCAGAAGCCCCCATGCTGGCAGGGCTCAGAGGCACACTCATCCACGTCATCCTCACAGTTGTCACCAGCGTAGCCAGCTGGACACTGTGGTGGGGGCGAGATAGGGAGTCACTCAGCCCTGAGGGACACAGATGCTCCCCGTGAAGACACAGAAAATCCCAGCACAAAAGGACACACACACAGTTGTTCAATACACAGAGATACTCCCAGTGTGCAGAAAACACACACCTAGGCACAGGACACCCAGGCACAGAGGACCACAGACACACCCAATGCAGATGGATACACACGTACAAACACACAGATACACCCAAGACACACACCAGAAATGCACAGACACCTGTATGTACCTTGACGCCCAGAGAGACACCATGCACAGAGACACATAGATATGTCCAGGAGCCAACCAAAGACAGACGCACACCCAGACAGACAGAAATACCCCCAGATCTCCCAGAGTGACACCCACAAATATATACTCAATCACAAAAGTAAAAACCCAGACATGACACCCTGTCTGGTGTGGCTCAGTGGCTGGAGTGTCAGCCCACGCACTGAGAGGTCACGGGTTCGATTCCCGGTCAGGGCATATACTTGGGTTGCAGGTTCAATCCCTGGCCCTAGACAGGGCTCATGTGGGAGGCAACCAGTTGATGTGTCTTTTTCACATTGATGTTTCTCTCTATCTATCTATCTTCCCCCCTTTCTCTCTCTCTTCCTTCCACTCTCCCTAAATATCAATGGAAAAAATATCCTCAGGTGAGGATTAACAACAAAAACAAACATGTCTAGAGAGACACACCCACCCATACCAGGCTACAGACACAGAAATGTGTGCCTAGACACACCCAGATGTGACTGGTTCCCCTCTTCCCTCCCCTGGTGCCCCTTACCTCGCACACATAACCTCCCATGTAGCCTCGGCAAGTGCCCCCATGCTGGCAGGGCTGGGCCAAGCAGGGGTCCACCTCCTGCTCACAGTGGCTGCCTGTGCGGCCCTCTAGGCACACGCAGTAGTGAGAGCTCTCCTTGTCCACACACTGCCCACCAGCCTGACACAGCTGCTCTAGCCGCACCCCTGCACAGAGAGGGGCGTCAGGCACCCACTCCCCCACCCTGCCCGCAACACACACAGCACACCTAACATCCCTGCTGTCACCAGTCACCAGGGTCCCACCACACTCCATCGGGTTGTCACACATCCCTCTAAACTGCATAATTCTAATCACTGACACACACCTTTGCTGCTCCCACCAGCTCAGTCACATACACCACTGCAGACATCATTCCAATTGTCTTATGGGGACAGACACAGACACCATCCAGTCATGTCACACAGTCACGCATCCACACACACTCAGCTACACATCCCATCACGCCCATACGCTCTGTCACACCCTCATTGGGCTCACACTGGCAGGAGTTATATGCACACACGCCCTCCCACGCTGCATACACCGGCCACACGCTCCCGCTGCTCACCGATCTGGGCTGCAGCTGCTCTGCAGGGCAGGCTTTGGATGTCACAGAGGCTGCCACTCCACCCGGGAGGACAAAGGCAGTTGAAAGAGGCCCCTGTCTGGGCACAGCGACCCCCGTTCTGACAGGGCTGAAGGCTACACCAGTCTATCAGTGTCTGGAGGGGAAGCCCACAGTGTCAGCACTTGGGGACCCCCAGAAATCACTCGCCAGATTCTCCCCCAGGGTCCCTGCCAGGCCCCTCACCACAACCTCCCTAATAATCCTTCCCCAGGAGCTAGCAGGCCCCTCTCCCAGAACACCCCTCCAGGTTCCTCCCCTGGAAAACCCACCCCCAGTGACCCCACCCACCTGACACTGACTGCCGGTGAAGCCCTCTGGACAGGCACAGATGAAGCCAGGGTAGGTGGCGGTGCAGACACCCCCATGCAGACAGGGCCGGGAGAGGCAGGGGTCGGCCTCATACTGGCAGTGCGCACCAGTGTAGCCAGGACGACACAGGCAGCTGAACGAGTTCACACCGTCCAAGCAGGTCCCACCATTGAAGCAGGAGCTGGAGGGAAAGCAAAGGTGGGTCAGGGCTGGCCCCCTTGGAAGCCACCCTCCATCCCGGGCCCTGCCTAACTCTGAGTGGGCCTACTCTGACCCCTACCCCCCACCACCCGCCAGGAGAGACTACAGCCCTGTCCTGTCCCTTAGCCTCAGTTTACCACATATTTCAGCACCAAGGTGCGAACCACATGGAGGCCCTACTCTGGTCTAGTCTCACCCCCTTAGAGACCAGCGTCTCTAAGACTACCCTGTCCCTTCCCACAGTGCCCCATCAGGTAGCAGAGTCCTGAATTGGGTGCCAAGCTGAAGACCCACCCTTCTTATCCCCATTCCTTCCCAGGTCCTGTGCCCCACCCGATGCCAGGGTCCCTGAGCTCCCAGTAGAGGGTCCATCCACCTGGGGCTGCAGTCCGGTAGGTTCTGCTCACAGTGGAAGCCTCCATAGCCTGGGGGGCAGGTGCAGGTGAAGGAAGCCACATGGTCGGTGCAGGTGCCTGGGCCGCAGGGGCTGCTCAGACACTCGTCCACATCACGGGCACAGCGGGGGCCAGCAAAGCCCGGGAGGCAGGAGCAGGAAAAGGAGCCCACATGGTCCTGACAGGAGCCACCATTCAGGCAGGGGTCTGTGGTTAGAAGGGAAAGAGGTCTGATCGCTCACCTAGCCCCCTTTCAACCTTTACTGACCTGGCCATGCCTTGTATAGCAGGAACTTAGAAGTAAACCAGTCTCAGTTGGAAAGGATACATTTGGTCAGAGGGATCAAATTGTCCCCTCTGTTGCCTCATCCTCTCCCTTATCTGGAAACCTCACCTATGTGGAAGGAGAAGATGTTGGCAGAACCAAAATGTCACTTTGAGCTATGAAGCACATACTGTTAGTTGTGTCTGCTTAATTCCTTGACTCAGCACAAGAAGGCATCTCCAGACCTGTACTGGCCAGTATAGTGGCCACTGGCCACATGTGGCTATTGAGTCCTTGACATGTGGCTGGCCCAAACTGAGATGTGCTATAAGTATAAAATAAACACCGAATTTCGGATTCTGAAGACTTAATATACATATATATTTTTTAAAGTGTAAATATCTCAATAATTTTATATTCATAACATGTTGAAAGGATGATTTTTATAATTAGATTAAATAAAATATATTATTAAATAAAATATCACCCTTTTTTTAACTTTTAAATGTAAGTACTCGAAAAATTTTAATTGCATATGTAGCTTGTGTTGTCTGTTGAACAGCACTCCTAGAGAACTCACTAGGGGCCTATTACCTCATACTTTACACACAATCCTAACTTGCTTGCTCCCGGACACAGTGTACAGGCTTCAGAGTCAGACAGACCTGTGCTCCAATCCCAGCTTATCCCTTACCTGCTATGTGACCTTGGGCAAGTCACTTAACTTCTTTGGGTCTCAGTTCCATGAGTAAAATGGAAAAAGTAAGAGAACTATGAAGATGAAGTTAAAGCACAATGCTCGGCACACAGTATAGGCTTAATGAACATGTTTCCTAGGGCAGCACCCACCCAAAAGCTCCCTGAACTCACTGGGGTCACAGTCATCGATGTCCTCGTCACAGGAAGAGCCACTATACCCCCCATGGCAGGTACAACTAAAACTCCCAGCCAGGTTGGTGCAGGTACCATGGGGGCCACAGGGTGAGGGGCCAGCACACTCATCTACATCCTGCTGACATCGAGGGCCTGGGGTGGAAAATAAGGTGACATATAGGGTTAGAGGGTACCTGTCCCACATGAAGAGCCTAAAGGCTGAGAAAGGTGAATGCAAGAACAAGCTATGCTCTCATTGGCCTCTGGGTATTTTGCACACACTGTTCTAGAAGTGCCTTCTTGCTTCAGTGGGTGGTGAATGTATTCTCTGAGTTTTGCCCCTCCAAGAAGCTGTCCCCAAACCCCAGCCTGAAACTGAGCTTCCCCAGCCACCCATCCCTTCCTCTTCTCTAGAAGTGACCACAGGGGCTGTGAGTGTCTATATCCAGCTCTGTCCCTTCCCAGAAGGAAGGTCCCTGAAAAGACAGGGTCAAGGGTGAGTCTCCCCTGGGTCCCCAGCGAGGAGGGGTGAAGGAGAGGAGGAGGAGGAGGGAGCAGCTCGTGTACCTTGCCAGCCAGGGGGGCAGGAGCAGATAGCCAGATGGCCAGGAGCAGACTCGCAGTGGCCCCCGTGTTCGCAGGGGTTCGGGGCACAGGGGGACAGCAGCTCACATTGATGGCCTGTGATGAGCAGGCAGAGTGAAGTCGTCTTGAGAAATTCCTTGTTCCCATCTACCCCGAGGGTCCCCACCTTGATACCCACCTCCCAAGCTGCAAGGGGAAAGAGGGAAAACAAAGGCAAACAGACAGGAGGGAGAGAGTGGGGCAGAGGGAAGTAAGAAAGAAGAGGGAGACCGGAGAGCCTGGGGAGGAAATGTAGGGACACATACCCTGAATACCAGGGGGACAGGTGCAGTGGAAGTCCATGCCATTGCTGGTACAGGTGCCACCAGCCCCACAGGGCTGAGACTCACAGGCATCTCGAGTGAGACTCTGGCTGCACTGGGGGCCACTCCAGCCAGGATCACATGCACAGCGGAACCTGAATGGGGAGGCAATCAGGGCCATCAAGTGGGCAGAGACAAGGGGGTGGGGTCATGAGGTGGGAAAAGGCCTCACCCTCCAGGCGCATCATGGCAGACACCGTGATTGCAGGGTTCTTGGGCACAGGGATGGCTTGGGGGGAGGCACAGTGGAGGCAGGGAGCCAGGTGGGCAGAGGCAGTGGAAGCCGTCTTCCCCATCCACGCAGGAGCCTCCCTCGCCGCATGGGCTGGACGCACACTCGTTGATCTCCATGTTGCAAAGGGGCCCTGGGGAGTACGCAAGCAACCTCATCCCAGGACAAAGGCAACCAAGCCAACAGGGAGGGACAACCTGGCCCCACTGAGCACAGGCATGCCCCTGAGCAAGGACACTCTCATTCTCATAACACATTAGCTCTTGTGCAAATGAGAGCAGCCACCTCCTCAACCCAGAGCTGCCTTGCCCCAGATCATCCTCACCCCCAAACTTACATGAAGCCATTTTCATTTTCACCAAGAATTACCTTGGCCCCACTCAGAAACACCCCCATCCCATCAGAGCACCCTCAACTATGTTCCAGGATAAACTTGAGCCAAAAGGACAACCTCATGCCAAACAGAGAGAGCACAAGGTTTAAACAATCTCGTTGGATAAGCCAGTGCAAAGAGAGAGGCAAAACTTGGCCAAGAAAGATGGGTGATTTCACCCTCACCCTCTAAAGACCCCCTTTTCATGGCAGCTGCTTGCCTACCTGTGAAGCCAGGCTGGCAGACACAGTCATAGCGATTAATACCATCCCGGCAGATTCCAAAGGTGCAGGGGTTGCTGGCACAATCATCGATGTTCACCTCACAGTTTACACCTGCAGAAGGAGAACAATGCCAGGAGGTAATGCCAGGAGCACCATTCCCAAGCCGTTGAACCCCTCCAGATGTGCTCTTCCTGCCCCAGCCCAGCCCTTGGTCCCACCTGTGGTGCCAGGAGGGCAGCGGCAGAGGTATTTGTCCACCAGATCTAAGCATTTGCCCCCGTGGCGGCAGGGCTGGCTACGGCACTCGTTCACCTGGCTCTCACAGCGCGTGCCAGTGTAGCCCGGGGCACAGGCACAGGAGAAGCTGGCAATGCCGTCCACGCAGCGCCCATGATGGCACGGGTCAGGAGAGCAGTCATCCACGTTGAGTTCACACAGAGTGCCCTCAAAGCCTACAAGGCCAGAGTGTCAGGCTCCACCCACTTGCCAAGGTCCTGCTCATAACCACAGCCTCCAATCAATCCTGGCTCAGCTCTGCCTCAGCCCTGCCTATCAAGCCAGCAGAAGGCAGGCTTAATTCAGGCCATCCCTAGTTGGCCTTCCCTCCATCCAGCTACAAGCTGCAAAATTCGCCCCTGACCAAGACCCTTCCAAGGTTAAATCCCACCCCCCAGTTGTGACTTTCTCTCCAATTCTTACATTCTCCACCCAGTTCTGCCTCTCCCTCAACTGCAAATGGGGGACACATGGGAGGTGCCTTGGGATAGTGTTGGTCAAGCCCAACTCAGTTACCTGTGCCCAGTATCAGGCCAGAACCTTTGGTCCCACTCTTAGCTTTAAGGTACAAAATTGGCTCCGTCCCCTGGCGGTCATTGGCCCTGATTTGATGCAGTCCTGCCCCAAAGCTTTCTCCCAGACTGTTATTGGCCCTCACCCTCACTAACCCTGCCTCCAAATTCTTGCGGGCCTGTAATTGGCCTGCTCTCACCCTCTGCGCAGCGGCACTCGTAGCCATCGGGTTGGTCCATGCACTTGGCCCCGTTCCTACAGGGTGTGCTCGCACACTCATCGACATCCAGCTGACACAGGGCCCCGCTGAAGCCTGCGGTGGAGAGTGAGTAGGATGAGCAGAGGTCCAGACAAAGTCAGGGCAGTCACCCCTCCCCACACCTGCCTTATTTGGGTGAGAAGCCCACTTATTTAGTTTTAAGTTAATTTCAACGTTTTTCATAACGTGGTTTCTATTGTGATAGTTTTCCACTAACATGATCTCATAGGCTCCCATCTGCCCCTGCAGGGACCTTTCTTTTTCAGGCTCCCTGGCCCAAGGTCCTCACCAGAGGGACAGGTGCAGCTGAAGCCATTGACTCTGTCCTTGCAGACACCACCGTTGACACATGGGCTGCTCTGACATTCATCCATGTCCACCTCACAATAGGTGCCTGTGAAGCCTGGGGGGAGGGGAATTAGGGTCGTGGGGGCTTCCCTTTGGCGTGAAGAGAGAGTGAGGGGGGAGGTACTCCCCTTCCCACTCATAGACAGTTCCCCTTAGCCTTGGCCTTTCCCCCAGTGCAACCCTAAATTCAATTTTCATCCTCAAGCTAGACCCTCAACAAGCCGTGGTCCCAACTAGTCCAAGGTTTATGAGACTCCACATGGACTTTGCCTTCAGACCACCCTCTTCCCTCTCCAGTCCACAGACATGCCCTGCCCCCAGCTTCCAGCCCCAGGGCCCACCATAGCCCTGTGCACGCCCCAGCGAAACTGTCTGCAGGCTCCACCTAAACCTCACTCTAGCCCCTGTCCCCATGTTGTCCATGCCACCCCGTGGGTCCTTAGGTCCAGACTCCACTCTCAGCCTAAGATTCTACTGGTTCCATTTGAGCATGCCCCCAGCCTCTCACAAGGTTGTACTCTGGCCTCACCTCCACCTCATCCCTGGTTTCACTCTCTCAGGGTCCCACTCGGAACACAGTTCCGCCCCTGTCCCCCTCCTGCAGGCTTCTCACCCCACACCCAGCCTTAGGCCTAGCCCCCACCATGTCTACCACCCACCTGCCATGCAGATGCAGGTGAACTGGCCTATGCGGTCAAGGCATGTGGCCTGGTTGCGGCAGGGCCCAGATAGGCACTCATTGACATCTGTCTCACAGCGCGGGCCAGTGTAGCCTGGGCCACACTGGCAAAGGAATGAGCCCTGTGTGTTCACACACCTGCCCAGGTGCTCACATGGGTTGGCACCTGCGGAAATAGGCACAGCCAGTGTGGGTGTGGGTGGCTGAGGAACGACCCACCCCCTCCTTCCAACTGAGACAATGGCCCCCTCACCAATAGAGCACTCATCCACATCCTGGTCACACGCGCCACCAGTGAAGCCTGGTGGACAAGTGCAGATGGCCCGGCCATTCACCGGGTTTGTGTCACAGATAGCATCCTCATGACAGGGATTGCTGACACAGGCATCATCTAGATGACATAGAAGCCCTGGAAAAGGACAGGCAGAGGTCAAGGGCAGACCCTCCAGCTCTGTCCAAAGGTCCCATAGCCCCACATAGTGTTTTGTATTTTGTTTTTATTAACCTGTAGCATATTTAGTAGTTATTTTTTCCTAATTGTTTATTATGAAAAAATTTCAAACATACAGAGAAATTGATTTATACACCCACCACCTATATTCAGCTATTGTAAGGTTTATCTATCTTTTTTCTGAATCATTTGAAAATGAGTTGGAAACATTCACAAATTGTTTTTAAATCTGTTGAATTTTTCTGATTATGAAAGGGTCCTACCTCAAGCCTTTGCTTCTGTAGCACCCTCTGCCTGACATGCCCTTCCCTCCATTCTCAAGTGCCCCTTCCAAACACCTTCTCTGACCTTTGCTACTTCCAAAGATCTCCTCTCTTTCTTGCTCACAGTATAGCTCTCTGTTCCCATGGTTTCTGTCCTGGACCACATGCAACCCTCCTCCAGGCCTCTCCCAGGCTTACCCTTCACCCCAAATCTGGCCTTCAGAATAATCATTCTAACACTCAAGTCAGATGTCACCCTTGCCCCCCACTCAGGAACAATCAATGGCTCCCTTGCTGCCTACAGGGGAAACAGCCACTCACCAGTCTTGCCCATGGGGCAGGCACAATAGAAGGAGGCCACGCGGTCATGGCAGGTGGCCCCATGGAAGCACACAGCCGTGGCACAGTCATCAATATTCTGACTACAGCTTTCACCAGTCCAGCCATTGACGCACACACAGCTGTGGCCACCCAGTGTGTTAAAGCAGGTGCCCCCATTGTGGCAAGCATTGGGCTGCAGCTGACACTCGTCCACATCCTCAGTGCAGAATTGGCCTGTGGCACAGAGATAGATGCACCAGTCCAGTCACCTGGCCTGTGCATCCCACCCAAGGTCTGCCACCCAGCTCCCTTCAGCCCCGGTGCCCACCTGTCCACTCCGGAGGGCACTGGCAATTGTAGGTGTTGACGCCATCCACACATGTCCCGCCATTTAGACACCGGTTCCCTGGACAGTCATCCACATTCACTTCACAGTTCTGGCCCTCAAACCCTACCATGGGAGGAGGAGGCACGTATTGTCACTGCTAGGCTGGCCTGCTGTTTCCCTACCCCTACTGCCTCCCCCAAGAAGAGCTTCCTCACCAGGAAGGCAGGCACAATCATAACTGAGATCGCCATTCTGTCTACAGGTGCCCCCGTTACGGCACGGTGAGGGAGCACAGGGCACTGCAGGGATCTCACACAGCGGCCCCAAGTAGCCAGCTGGGCACTGGCAGCGGAAAGAGCCAGGTGTGTTGAGGCAGGTACCACCATGATGGCAGGGACCACCCGCCCGGCACTCATCCACATCACTTCGACAACTGCGGCCCTGGTAGCCAGGTGGGCAGGAACAGATGTAGCGACCATCGGGCCCCACTGAGCAGTGGGCCCCATGGGCACAGGGGCTGTTGAGGCAGGGGTCTGGCAAGGAGCAGTCGGGGCCTGGAGGGACCAAGAGAGGGTGAGTTAGGTGGACCACACCCTTGCCTACCTTGGGGTCTCCTCCAGATCCTCCCTTACCTCTGAACCCACGGGGACAGCGGCAGGAGAACCGGGCAGTGCCTGCTACCACCGAACTCTGGCAGACGCCACGGCCAGCACAGGGGCCCGAATGGCAGGGATCTTCCAGCTGGCACCGCTCGCCCACCCAGCCTGGTGGGCACCTGTGGGCAGAGACAGCTCAATGGGGGCAGAAGATACACAGAGATACACACAAGACAGGCAAGAAACACATGGGCAACACAGAGCAATAAACACACACATTCATTCATGCAACAAATATTCACTAAGCACCTACTATGTTCTTAGCAATTGGAATACAGCTCAAACCCAATAATAGTGGCCCCACCCTCTTGATGCTCACGGCTAGAATGGGTGAAGAGAAGACATACAAATCACAAATCAGTACACAGCATGCCAGCAGGGAGTGGTGAGGGCCACGACGGCCATGAAAGGTATGGTATAGCATAGAGTGGTGGCCCTAGAAAAAACATGTCCATGTCCCAGAACCTGTGACTGTGACATTATTTGGAAAGAGTTTTTGCACATGTAAACTAAGTGACAGGTATCAAGATGAGATCATCCTGGATTTTCCAGGTGGGCCCTAAATCCAATGATAATGTTCTTTAAAGAGAAAGGCAGAGGGAGATTTGGGAGAAAGAGGAGAAGGACTTGCAGAGGCAGAGACAGGAGTGTTGCACCTACAAGCCAAGGAAAGCCTGGAGCTACTAGAAGGTGGAAGAGGGAAGGAAGAACTCTACCCTAAAGCCATTGGAGAGTGGGTGGCTGCCAACACCTTGATTTCTGACTTCTGGCCTCCAGAACTATGAGAGTAAATTTCTGTTGTTTTAAACCACTCAGTTTGGGGTGATTCGTTACAGCAGCCACAGGAAATGAAAACTAAGACACAGAATAAGGGGGATAGAGTGATGGGGGTGGGAGGCAAATATATTTTCACAGACTGAAGGAAGGGAAGAGATCATGAGACTATGTGGGGAAGAGAACTTCAGGCAGAGGGAACAGCAACTGCAGTCTCAGACCCCAGAAGACAACCACCCAGGCATACACAGACAGACCCAGAAACACATACACAGAGGGACATATCAATCCCACATATTGGCCTGACAAATAATGAGACACCAACCCACAGGCTGGGTCACAAATAGGGGCAACTTTCACCTGGACAGACAGACGGACCCCACAAACTCTTTACTCCTTTTCTGGGGACACATACACCCCTTCTTTCCACTGGGGGGAGGAGGTAGACACTAATATTGATGACCTCTTTTGGGGGGAACTCCTTTAGCCTGAAGTCCCCTCCCCAAACCCACCAAGCAAGCTGGATGGAGCGTGAGGGAACTATGAGAACTGGAAGAGGGGTGCTCTTAAGACTGGAAATCTACTTCGGGGCAAGAGAGAGGGGCCTGGAGAGGCAAAGAAGTCCAGACCCCACCCCCGGACTCTGCCCACCCCT